GAATTTTCTGCATAATATTTACACCACACATTGCCCTTAGACAGGACATCTCCACTGCCTCCAACCGCCTCCTCGCTGCTGCATTTACAACCCAAGCTTCACATCCATATAAGAGTGTTGGTACTACTATACTTTCATACATTCCCTTCTTTGCCTCCATAGATAACGTTTTTTGACTCCACATATACCTCAACGCACCACTCACCTTTTTTCCCTCATCAATTCTATGATTAACCTCATCCTTCATAAATCCATCCGCCGACACGTCAACTCCCAAGTATGTGAAAACATTCACTTCTTCCATACTCCTCCTCCCCAATTTGATATCCAATTTTTCTTTATCTAAATCATTTGATACCCTCATCACCTTACTCTTTTCTATGTTCACTTTCAACTTTCTACCTTTACACACATTCTCAAACTCATCCACTAACCTTTGCAATTTTTCTTTAGAATCTCCCATAAGCACAGTATCATCAGCAAAAAGTAACTGTGTCAATTCCCATTTTGAATTTGATTCCCCATAATTTAATCCCACCCCTCTCCCAAACACCCTAGCATTTACTTCTTTTACAACCCCATCGATAAATATATTAAACAACCATGGTAGAAATAAAAACCATGTAGAAATAAAAATTATTATTATTATTATTATTATTATTATTATTATTATTATTATTATTATTATTATTATTACTATTATTATTATAAGTAGTAGTAGTAGTAGTAGTAGTAGTAGTAATAGTAGTAGTAGTAGTCGTAGTAGTAGTAGTAGTAGTCGTAGTAGTAGTAGTAGTAGTAGTAATAGTAGTAGTAGTAGTAGTCGTAGTAGTAATCGTAGTAGTAGTAGTAGTAGTAGTAGTAGTAGTAGTAGTAGTAGTCGTAGTCGTAGTAGTAGTAGTCGTAGTAGTGGTAGTAGTAGTAGTCGTAGTAGTCGTAGTAGTAGTAGTAGTAACAGTAGTAAGTATATACAGGCGGGACAAGGTTATGTGTGGGAAACATACATGCACACTGAGGCCATGTGATAATCGTGTTTTGATGGTGTAATAATAATTTAGGGTCGCTCCTGGACTAGCTACTGTAATCAGTGTTTTGGATTGCTGTACTAGATGTGGCAATCAATGCTGACTTCATTGTCTTTTGAATTCACAGATAATTTTCCTTAATGACTAGTCTGACTTCATCCCTCATCATGAGGTGACGTCCGTGAGAATTTTGGTGACTGATACTGGTGTTTTTAAAATGATCTCCACTACAGGAATACTAAAGCTTTTCCAAACGTTCCTCAAGGTTCCTCAATTATTAATGTTCTTCCAAACGTTGATCAAGGTTCCTCAAATGCTAATGCTCTTCCAAACGTTGCTCAAGGTTCCTCAAATATTAATTAATGTTCTTCCAAACGTTGATCAAGGTTCCTCAAATGCTAATGCTCTTCCGATCGTTCCTTAAGGTTCCTCAAATATTAATGTTCTTCCAAACGTTGATCAAGGTTCCTCGATTACTAATGCTCTTCCAAACGTTGATCAAGGTTCCTCGAATACTATTGCTCTTCCAAACGTTGCTCAAGGTTCTTTGATTACTAATGCTCTTCCAAACGTTGATCAAGGTTCCTCGAATACTATTGCTCTTCCAAACGTTGCTCAAGGTTCTTTGATTACTAATGCTCTTCCAAACGTTGCTCAAGGTTCTTTGATTACTAATGCTCTTCCAAACGTTGATCAAGGTTCCTCGAATACTATTGCTCTTCCAAACGTTGCTCAAGGTTCTTTGATTACTAATGCTCTTCCAAACGTTGCTCAAGGTTCTTTGATTACTAATGCTCTTCCAAACGTTGATCAAGGTTCCTCGAATACTATTGCTCTTCCAAACGTTGCTCAAGGTTCTTTGATTACTAATGCTCTTCCAAACGTTGCTCAAGGTTCTTTGATTACTAATGCTCTTCCAAACGTTGCTCAAGGTTCTTTGATTACTAATGCTCTTCCAAACGTTGCTCAAGGTTCTTTGATTACTAATGCTCTTCCAAACGTTGATCAAGGTTCCTCGAATACTATTGCTCTTCCAAACGTTGCTCAAGGTTCTTTGATTACTATTGCTCTTCCAAACGTTGCTCAAGGTTCTTTGATTACTAATGCTCTTCCAAACGTTGCTCAAGGTTCTTTGATTACTAATGCTCTTCCAAACGTTGCTCAAGGTTCTTTGATTACTAATGCTCTTCCAAACGTTGCTCAAGGTTCTTTGATTACTAATGCTCTTCCAAACGTTGCTCAAGGTTCTTTGATTACTAATGCTCTTCCAAACGTTGATCAAGGTTCCTCGAATACTATTGCTCTTCCAAACGTTGCTCAAGGTTCTTTGATTACTATTGCTCTTCCAAACGTTGCTCAAGGTTCTTTGATTACTAATGCTCTTCCAAACGTTGCTCAAGGTTCCTTGGCGTTTCACTCACATAATTTTTGTCACATCTTCCTCATGGAATGACACAGAGACAAAATAAATCTTTGATGGTAAGGGAAGTGATAATATATACACTTATTTTTACACTCTGGGAGAACACTGGTTGCTGGCAACACTCACACAGACTCACTACGGTATATTTTTTTGTGAATAAATGGTTACAAAATTGACACGTTGATAAATGAGATACTTTTGCAATATGTGGGTATCTTTACTCTGGAAACGTTTCGCCCCTTAAATTTCATTCACTTATAAGATGAAGAATAAGGGGAGACATGATTGAAGTGTATAAGAGGAAGATGGGTATTAGCAAAGGGGATATAAATAAGGTCCTGAGAATATCGCTCCAAGAAAGAACCCGTAATAATGGATTCAAATTAGATAAGCTTAGATTTAGAAAGGATATAGGAAAGTATTGGTTTGGAAATAGGATAGTTAATGAGTGGAACAGTCTGTCTATTAAGGCTATTGAAGCTAAAACCTTGGGTAGTTTCAAATTTAGGTTTGACAAATACATGAGTGAGACAGTTTGGATTTGAGTGGGACTTGCAAAGCTTATTGCCTGGGCAGCATTGAAAATGGGTTGAGCAAATATTCTTTTAGTGGGAGGGATTGTGAAGGGCCTGCCTACCATGGGCCAATAGGCCTGCTGCAGTGTTATTCCTTTCTTATGTTTCAAACATGCATATTCATGCTTTTATATACACACCCCTCTGGATTTCCTTCTACTTTCTTACTAGTTCTTGTTCTTGTTTCTTTTCTCAGTAGAATCAGTTACCAGTAGCATCAGTGACTCATACACTGTTACTGATTCATCGTCACCCCTTACGTGATCACTGACCGTTATTGAGTCATTCTGCTGACCAAGCATGTTGTTTGAATGTCGCTCGCCCTCCGGGCACGATGGAAGTTACTTTAGAGTAGAGTAGCAGAGACGGCAGGTCAGGCTTGGCGGTTCCTTCCTTAGTGCCCATAATAATAAGTCACCAGCCACCCGAAGTGTGTGAATTTACCCAATTCCAGCCGAACCCCCACATGACACTTTCTTATCTCCATAGAGAAGTGGAACAGAATTCTTCCTCCGTAAGCCATGTGTGTCGTAAGAGGCGACTAAAATGCCAGGAGCAAGAGGCTAGTAACCCCTTTTCCTGTATACATTACTAAATTTAAAAAGAGAAACTTTTTGTTTTCTTTATGAGTCACCCTGCCTCGGTGGGAGACGGCCGGTTTGTTGAAAGGTTTATATATATACGTCTTCAGGGGTGATGGACTGATTACATCGTCTTCACGTCTCTACTGCTCCTACCAACTTTTCTGTACTCTGACTGAAGAAGCCTACTGTGCAGGCGATACGTTTCGGAATAAAGATGCCGAATTGTTGCATGTCGGTATTTTATACCATTTTGATAATTCACTGTGTGAGACACTGCAACACATTGGTATCTTAGTACAGAAAACACCTTGGACAACTTTTTCAAGTGAAAATGGTTGTATTTGAGATGGACCTGACCTCTCAGTGAATACATTCTTTCTTCTACTAATGGACTACCTGGAACAGTCCCCGCGGCCCGGTCCACGACCAGGCCTCCCGGTGGATCAGGGCCTAATCAACCAGATTGTTACTGCTAGCCGCACGTAGTCCAATGTACGAACCACAGCCCGGCTGATTCGGCACCTACTTTAAGTATCTGTCCAGCTCCCTCTTGAAGGCAGTCAGGGGCCTATTAGTAATTCCCCTTAATTAAGCTTGGTGGGAGACTGTTGAACAGTCTTGAGCCCCGGACACTTGTGGTATTTTCTCTTAGTGTACCAATGGCGCCCCTACTTTTCACTAGGAATATTTAGCACTACCTGCCCAGTTTTTTACTTTCGAAGGGAGCGATTTCTGTGTGCAGATTCGGGACCATCCCTTCGAGGATTTTCCAAGTGTAGATTATGATATGATACACCTCTCTTTTTGACAGTATATAAGTCGCTTAAACTTCACATTGTTTCAGACTATGGAACAAAACTCTTCAGGCTGAGGGACTGACCACCTTAAAAATACGATGAAAACTGAGCTATGGCAACAGGTTAGGTTAGGTAAGATTGATCAGAAAATGGGACAAGAGTTTTCCTGACGCGGGTCTTAGTCATATGATGACCTGCCACTGGAGCTTTTGATTATCTGATAGAGGACTTCTGCCGGTTTACCAGTCCATCCTTTTAAAAATTATAAAATTAAAATGTATGGGGCAACAGTTGGTGCTGATAATGAAGCAGCTGCCAGCTAAGCTTCACCCAACACAGCCTCCAGACACATGGTTGAAAGTTGACACTTAACTGTTTGTTTTGTGTACGAAGTTAGTTTTATTGACGTGGTGTTTTATATTTTAACTAGTTTTGTTCGTTAACTGCATTGTAGCAGCCATTCCATCGGAAAAAAGTAATAGAAGTGCGGTAAACTGATAAAAGCAAGCACCAGAGGCAAAATAAGCAGAAAATGAATACGTTGTGAACGCTAGCATCGGAGCGGCAAAATGGAGAGAGAGAGAGAGTTGGGCCAGCAGACAGTCGTGGTTTGTACCTGAGAGTGAGCATGTGTGTAGCAACCTCTCCCGTGGGTGATCTCTCTCGCCTCCACTCATACACATGGTGCTAGAGTGAGACTCTTAACAAGTGTATGATAAAGTAGTAGTCTGAGGACATTTGAGAATGGATGTGATGGGATCAGTGTGCGTGTTGGTGATGCTGGTTGTAGCCACCTCTTGCACAACACTGGATTTACAAACAGCTCTTAAAATGGCTCAGTGTAGGGCCCACTGTCTTGATCAGGTGAGTCAGGTGGTATTGACGGTGATGTGAGGTGGTATTAACGGTGATGTGAGGTGGTATTGACGGTGATGTGAGGTGGTATTAACGGTGATGTGAGGTGGTATTAACGGTGATGTGAGGTGGTATTGACGGTGATGAGAGGTGGTATTGACGGTGATGTGAGGTGGTATTGACGGTGATGTGAGGTGGTATTGACGGTGATGTGAGGTGGTATTAACGGTGATGTGAGGTGGTACTGAGGGTGATGTGAGGTGGTATTGAGGGTGATGTGAGGTGGTACTGAGGGTGACGTGAGGTGGTACTGAGGGTGATGTGAGGTGGTACTGAGGGTGACGTGAGGTGGTACTGAGGGTGACGTGAGGTGGTACTGAGGGTGGCGTGAGGGGGTACTGAGGGTAACGTGAGGTGGTACTGAGGGTAACGTGAGGTGGTACTGAGGGTGACGTGAGGTGGTACTGAGGGTGACGTGAGGTGGTACTGAGGGTGACGTGAGGTGGTACTGAGGATGACGAGGTGGTACTGAGGGTGACGTGAGGTGGTCTTTGGAATTCGGGAGGTTCTGGAGCGGGTCCTTCAACAATGTCATTTCGTTAACTAAGATATCTAGCAGTGGTCAGCCCACTTGGCTTACACCCGAGACGACAAGGGATCGAACTCCATTACGAAGCGAGACGTAAGATAAGATTTCGTTTGATTTTTTAACCCCGGTGGGTTAGCCACCCAGGATAACCCAAGAAAGTCAGTGCGTCATCGAGGACTGTTTAACTTATTTCCATTGTGGTCCTCAATCTTTTCCCCCAGGATGCGACCCACACCAGTCGACTAACACCCAGGTACCTATTTCTTAGGTGAACGGGACAACAGGTGTATGGAAACACGACTAATGTTTCCACCCTTGCCGGGAATCGAACCACGGACAATCAGCCTGTGAAGCGTGAGCTTTGCCTACCAGACCACGGGCCAAGTTTATTTAGGCACGGGTACATATAAGAAAGAAACACTGCAGGAGGCAGTGCTGCCCATGCTAGGCAGGTCCAAGTTACCTACTGGCTTAGGCCAGTCAGGTTCAAGTCACATCCACTTAAGAAGGGAGGTGGAATGCAGTGCTTTTCTTCCAAGGCTGATGGACTGATTAAGTCAACTTTGTTTCACTGGTACACTTACTCCCTCTGTATTTGACTGAAGAAGTCTGTTGTGTAGGCGAAACGTTTCAGCAATGAAGATATCCAATGTTGCACATATGTTTTAGTCTTCAACTTATCGATATTTTATATCATTTTCAGCAACACATCAGACCCACTTGCCCAAGCCAGTCAGGTCCAACTCACACCCTCTCATATTGTCCAACCTATTTTTTAAAACTGCCGGAGTTTCTTCCACTTATCTACAACTCTATTGTCAAACCAATGTTTTCCTATATCCTTCCTAAATCTATTTTTTTTTCCAACTTGAAACCAGTACTGAAGTCTTTTTTTGGTTAGATATTTTTAACACTTTTTTAATCCCCTTATTTATTCCTGTTTATCATTTTTACACCTCATTAAAATCCCCTATTAATTCCGCCTTTCAGAGAGTGCAGTTTCCCGGGTCCCTAAAGGGTACCCTCATGGGAAAAATTTCTCATACAGGGATCAACTTCGTCCCCTCTTTTGTACGTTTTCCAGACTTTTTATATCCATTCTGTAATAGGGTGACCAGAACTGTGCAGAATAATCAAATGAGGCCAAACCAAAATTTAAATTTGAAGAACAACCTAGGACTCCTTTGTTTATACCTTTTAAAATTTGAAGCCAAAAATTCTATTCTTTTTGTATTGTGAACACTTACACACTTTTGTCTTTGGTTTTAGTTTACTGTTAACCATAACTTCAAATTTTTTCCGAATCATGATATTAAAAATCTAATTTATTTTAAAAATTGTAATAGTTTTTTTTTCCTTTCCCCCAAGACAGTTTAAGAAAAAATTTCTTTGGGTTTTTTTAACCCCGGAGGGTTAGCCACCCAGGATAACCCAAAAAATCAGTGCATCGGGACTGTTAACTTTTTTCCCATTGGGGTCCTTAATTTTGTCCCCCAGGATGCGACCCACACCATGACTAACACCCAGGTACCATTTGCTGCTGGGTAAACAGGACAACGGGTGTAAGGGAAACGTGTCGAATGTTTCCACCCCCCGGGAATCAAACCCCGGGGCCCTCCGTGTGTGAAGCGAGACTTTAGCCACCAGGCCACCCGTCAAATTAAATTGACGGTCTGTTTTGGGTTGCCCGTTGGCAGCTATCTTTTACATGAAAAATTACTAGGATAACCCAAAAAAATATCAGATGAGTGGGGTATTTCTATGGCAAGTCCCAAAACCCTTCCGCCCTTATTACCTACTCAATAGGGCCGGGGAGTTAGTATACCTTGTGGTAGCATCCCAGGAAGAATTAAAATAGAACAATAATAAAACAAAGAAAAAAGGGAAAACTGCACAGGGCCCACTGACCCATGCGAGGGAGGTCCAAGTCTCCCACTGGGTTTAAACCAAAGCCCTAAATAGTCAGGTCAGGTCCCCTTCACTTTAAGAAACAACTACAAGCTACATTGAAAAAGAAAAAAAGATATAATAAACTGACTCGGGATGTTGCTTATCCCAGGTTAACCTTCACAACAGTGAACAAAACCCTATATGCCAAGTATTTTTATAATATCGGACAAATTTCTTACAGATATGACCTCATCCACAGAGATTCGAACCGCCCCTCAGAGTTTTTGGATCGCACTTTTTTATGTGTTTTTTACATTCACAAATGAATGTGCGCATGGTTTAAGCGCTTTTTCGAATTAGCAATATTAATAATACAATTATTATTATTATTATTTTTTATTATTATTATTATTATTAAACATTATTTTTTTTAATTAAACTATACAAAAATAAATATAGAAGAGACACAATTTTCGGTTTCTTGACATGATCTATTTAAAATTTTAACACATTGTTTCTACACATATTGTAAGCGTCATGTTGAACAAAATTTACACATAGTTTTTTAAAAGCCATGTTGAACAAATTTACACAATTTTCTACAGCTCATGTTGAACAAGATTCTACAATAGTTGCTACAGCATCATGTTGAACAAGATTCTACACATTTTACAGCGTCATGTTGAACAAGATTCTACACATAGTTGCTACAGCATCATGTTGAACAAGATTCTACACATAGTTGCTACAGCGTCATGTTGAACAAGATTCTACACATAGTTGCTACAGCGTCATGTTGAACAAGATTCTACACATAGTTGCTACAGCGTCATATTGAACAAGATTCTACACATAGTTGCTACAGCGTCATATTGAACAAGATTCTACACATAGTTGCTACAACATCATGTTGAACAAGATTCTACACATAGTTGCTACAACATCATGTTGAACAAGATTCTACACATAGTTGCTACAGCGTCATTTTGAACAAGATTCTACACATAGTTGCTACAGCGTCATGTTGAACAAGATTCTACACATAGTTGCTACAGCGTCATGTTGAACAAGATTCTACACATAGTTGCTACAGCGTCATGTTGAACAAGATTCTACACATAGTTGCTACAGCGTCATATTGAACGAGATTCTACACATAGTTGCTACAGCGTCATATTGAACAAGATTCTACACATAGTTGCTACAACATCATGTTGAACAAGATTCTACACATAGTTGCTACAACATCATGTTGAACAAGATTCTACACATAGTTGCTACAGCGTCATGTTGAACAAGATTCTACACATAGTTGCTACAGCGTCATGTTGAACAAGATTCTACACATAGTTGCTACAGCGTCATTTTGAACAAGATTCTACACATAGTTGCTACAGCATCATGTTGAACAAGATTCTACACATAGTTGCTACAGCGTCATGTTGAACAAGATTCTACACATAGTTGCTACAGCATCATGTTGAACAAGATTCTACACAAAGTTGCTACAGCATCATGTTGAACAAGATTCTACACATAGTTGCTACAGCATCATGTTGAACAAGATTCTACACAGTTGCTACAGCGTCATAGAAGTTAATATTCTTCATACAGTTATTTCAGCATTATGAAAGCAAAGATTCAGTGAGGAGGCTCTTGATCCAAGGAATTGGTCCATCCTCTCTTTCCTTCAATCAAACGTGATTATCCTACCATCTATTTCCCCTGTCGTTGTTGGACCCGTACAAGATTAGTGCTTTCTTTGAATAATAATAATAATAAAATAATAATAATAGCAACAATAATAATAATGTAATAAAGTTGGTAGAATTACCGACAATATGTAAAGTAAAAGGACACAAGTGCAACTAATGTGACATTTATTGTGGCAACGTTTCGCTCTCCAGGAGCTTTATCAAGCCATTACAAACAATACATGGACACAGAGGGTATATAAAGGCTCAGAGTGAGGTGAATACTAGTGAGGTACCATTTCGATGTTCACTAGTGGTAGTAGTAGTAGTAGTAGTAATAGTAGTAGTAGTGGTAGTGACAAAAGTAATACAATATGGTAGAGCAATTAATTCGTACATGAGTAAAAGGATATAAAAGCTATTACTTGGGTAACATAAAAATAGGTTGGACAAATATAAACTGGAATGAGGCAGCTTGTTTCAGTGTTCACTCTCTGTGCTTTGTGTAGTATAACAGGAGAGACAATACATGTGTCCATGTATTGTTTGTAATGGCTTGATAAAGCTCCTGGAGAGCGAAACGTTGCCACAATAAATGTCACATTAGTTGCACTTGTGTCCTTTTACAATAATAATAATAATAATCTTTAGTTCTACAAGTATATGTACAAGGTATATAGGCCTAGCTGACGTAAATGACATACTACTGTATAGAAAGCCGCTTTTTATGCTGAGCATTTCGGGCAAATTAGGCAGTTTTGTACCAGGATGCGACCCACACCAGTCGATTAACACCAAGGTACCTGTTTTACTGAGAGGTGAACAGGGACAGCAGG